AGTGGCAACAAATATATCTACCTTCAATATTATTTTGTATTTTGTATTTTATTTAAATTAAATTGTAACTCACCGAAAAATATCAATTCAAGTCCGCTAATATCAATATCACGGTGATCGTAACCAGACCCAGGGGTATGTCACTCAGTACATTGTGCCGAAATTAGATTCGGCACAGCTTGGGCACATCCATCGGCACACCTTCAGCACAATCTCGTAGGCATTGGATTGTTGTAAATAAAATGGGAGCACTGCTGGACAACTGTCATTGAAGTTGTTCACAACATTACGTGCTGTTTGTCTGTATATTCAGAAACATCCTCTAATTGAATATTCCAGAGGAACTCAGACCAGCAGTTAACTTCTCGGTTCACATATAGATTTAAATACGAAATGTAGGGTCTAGAGTGGGCTCAAGAGAAAGAGGCAGTGAATCAGACCCCATTAGTACCCTTAATTCAATTAATTCTGCAACTCACATAAAACAAACCACAGAAGTCATATTTATCATCCTCTAATGTCAGTCTCCATCAATATTCTCCACCTGTTCATAAACTACATAGACAGTTTAGGGGGGTGGTTGGCAGTTATCCACGGTCCATACAAATTTTAAAATTTTTGTAAGGACAATTGTCTACGCAGGGGGGGGGTCAATAATTAAAAAAAAACTGTCTACGTAGTTTATGAACAGCCCCTAAGGAAACAATTTTAAAAGCGTTGGTCACTCAGCACATGAGTAGCCTAGGTAAAAGTAACTCGTTTCGTTTTTAGTGAACCCCGGGTTACGGGTCAATTTTCTCAGCATCATCAACGTGCACTGCCCACACGAAGGGAGACCCGACAACGAGATAGAAGCGTTCTATGCGCAGCTGGGGCAGGTGTACGACGGCTGTTCGCAACGGGACGTCAAAATCGTCATCGGCGACATGAACGCTCAGGTAGGACGGGAGAAAATGTATAGACCGGCAATTGGGCCAAAGCCACCTGGAGATCACCTGACCAACACACAGAAAACCAAATCGATCACGTTCTAACCGACGGGAAATTCTTCTCCGACATTATCAACGTCCGCACGTACCGCAGTGCGAACGTAGATTCGGACCACTACCTAGTTGCAGTATGCATGCGCTCAAAACTCTCGACGGTTCATAACACCCGTCGAAGTCGAACGCCGCGACCCAACATTGAGCAACTACGGGACGCCGGAGTTGCCCAGGACTACGCGCAGCAGCTGGAAGTTGCACTACCCACGGAAGAGCAGCTTGGCGCAGCTTCTCTTGAAGATGGCTGGAGGGAAATCCGTTCCGCCATAGGTAGTACTGCTGCAGCGGCACTAGGTACTGCAAACCCGGACCGAAGAAATGACTGGTTTGACGGCGAATGCAAACTGTTAGTACAGGAGAATAATGCAGCACGGGCGAGAATGCTGCAACACCGCACGAGATTGAATGTAGAGCGATGCAGGCAAGCGCGGAACAGACAAAACTCGGTTTTCCGAAGGAAGAATCGTCAGCAGGAAGACCGAGATCGCAAGGCGATAGAAAATCTGTACCGCGTAAACGACACACGGAAGTTCTACGAGAAGCTAAATAGTTCGCGCAAAGGCTACGTGCCGCAAGCCGATATTGTGCAAGGACGAACGGTAACCTTCTCACGAACGAGTGTGAGGTGATTGAGAGGTGGAATCAGTACTATGACGAGCACCTCAACGGTGAAGCAGCAGAAAACGAAGATGGCACGGCAACATACCTTGGAGCACGCGCAGAAGACGACAGGCTACCGGCCCCTGATCTTCAAGAAGTTGAGGAGGAGATCGGTCGGCTGAAGAACAACAAAGCAACTGGTGTAGATCAACTACCAAGTGAGTTATTAAAATACGGTGGTGATGCACTGGCTAGAGCGCTGCACTGGGTAATTGCCAAGATTTGGGAGGAGGAGATATTACCGGAGGAGTGGATGGAAGGTGTCGTATGCCCAATCTACAAAAAAGGGCGACAAGTTGGATTGCTGCAACTACCGCGCAAGAGAGTTCGTGGGGCAATACCAGGCGGGATTCATGGGTGCCCACGCTACCACGGACCAAATTTTCGCGATTCGGCAGGTTCTGCAGAAATGCCGCGAATACAAGGTGCCCACACATCATTTGTTCATCGATTTCAAATCCGCATACGACACAATCGATCGAGATCAGCTATGGCAGATTATCCACGAGTACGGATTTCCAGATAAACTGACGCGATTGGACACGATGGATCGAGTGATGTGCGTTGTTCGAGTATCGGGGACACTCTCGAGTCCCTTTGAATCTCGAAGGGGGTTACGGCAAGGTGATGGGCTTTCGTGTCTGCTGTTCAACATCGCGTTTAAAGGTGTGATCAGAAGAGCTGAAATAGACACGAGTGGCACGGTATTCAGGAAGTCCATCCAGCTCCTTGGCTTCGCCGATGACATTGACATCATGGCATGGTACTTTGAGATGATGGCGGAAACGTACATCAGACTGAAGGCTGAAGCTAGGCGAATTGGACTTGCCATCAACGCATCAAAGACAAAATACATGAAAGGAAGAGGTTCTAGGGAGGACAATGTTAGCCTCCCACCCCGAGTTCAGATTGACGGTGACGAAATCGAGGTGGTCGATGAGTTCGTGTATTTGGGCTCACTGGTGACCGCCCAAAATGATACCAGCAGAGAAATTCAAAGACGCATTATGGCAGGGAATCGTGCCTACTTTGTACTCCGGAGGACGCTCCGGTCGAATGAAATTCGCCGCCGCACGAAGTTGTCTGTCTACAAGACGCTAATTAGACCGGTGGACCTCTACGGCCAAGAGACCTGGACTATGCTCGTGGAGGACCAACGCGCCCTTGGTGTTTTCGAACGGAATGTGTTGCGTACCATCTACGGTGGAGTGCAGATGGATGACGGAACGTGGAGGAGGCGAATGAACCACGAATTGCACCAGCTGCTGGGAGAACCATCCATCGTCCACATTGCAAAAATTGGGCGCCTACGGTGGGCAGGGCACGTCGTAAGAATGCCGCACGACGACCCAGTGAAAATGGTTCTAGAAAGCGACCCAACAGGAACAAGAAGAAGAGGCGCGCAGCGGGCAAGGTGGATCGACCAAGTAGAAGGTGACCTGCGGACCCTTCGCAGACTACGAGGCTGGCGAACTGTGGCCATGGATCTAGTAGAGTGGAGACGACTTCTTCGGACAGCAGAGGAAAACAAGGCCTTAGTAAGGTATTCTGTTTATCGGTTTGGTTAGGCACCTTCCTTACCTTGAAGACATGAAATCCGGGCAGCTTCATTGTCTGCTGGACGAACCAGACGGAAGAATTGGCCACGTCCCGAATCGAAAGGATCGGATTGCGCTTGAAGTAATCCCTCACCTTCGTTGCGTTCACAGGGTCGGTCATCTTCGCTTTCATTACGCTACCAGCTTGCCTCTGGGTCGTCTGGGTTTCCTTGAACGATTTTATCACACGGGACACGGTCGAATTGTCGATTCCAAACTGTTTCGCGATCCACCTGTGGGATTGGCCTGGATTTTCCACGACCGCTCCCATATTTTTTTTTCGAAGCACTTCTTGCTTGGAAGCCATCTCGATTACCACTTGACAGATTGTGACGAGACTTTGCACATGTAAACATTACACTCTAAACTAGTTTTACTCAAAATAGCCGGCGCCGGTGGTGTAGTGGTAAGCGTGACTGCTTTCTAACACCCCGATGGGTCTGGGTTCTATCCCAGCCGAGGTCGGTGGGATTTTTCTGAGGCATAAAAATCTCTGGTCACGTCTTCCTTCGGAAGGGAAGTAAAGCCGTTGGTCCCGGCCCATGTGTGTGTTGAATGGGTGCGATATCCTACGCAGGTGTGGAAGCTGCCTTCCTGCACATTCGATTGCCGTCAATGATTGGCACTAGATTGCGGAACAGAGACCGACGTTAAATAAAGGAAAGTGTTAAATTTATGCATAAAAGAAAGTGTTGCATTTTTTTTTCGAGTACAATCTTTATTATAGAATCTTAAATCACACACCTAATCCTGTATCCTGAGCACAAACTTCTACATGTTAAATGCCATCTCTTCCATTTAAACTGTTTTTAAATATTTGGATCTTTTTTTGTATACCCTAATAAACAAATACCATAAACGAACTGTATCCCGGATGGGTAAACGATCCCAAAAATGGTTTGGATGATACCCCGAACACGTCGTTAAGCTCTCTTTTATGGTTATTTTTATTAGGGTATGCAATTTTGAAAAAAAAATCGAATCAAATAGATTCAGTGAGATCGATTATTTGGACAAGATCGCCCAATTCTAGGTCATATATAGGTCAGTAGTGGATTCAAATCGGTTAAAGCACTTCCACTGTTATAATTAAGAGCTTTCTATGCCTACCAATGCATGTGTTTGTTTATTTTGTGGCAAGCACAATGATACTCAGTACCCCGGGAAAATCGAGAAAATTTTCAACCCGAAAGATTTTCTCGACTGGACCGGACATCGAACTCGCCACCTCCTGTTTGGTAATGCAGTCCCTTCACTAGCTAGACTACCTGCCGCCTCCATAAAAAGAGTTTAGAGCAGAGGAATGTGATGGGGTCTAAAATCGCTCAAAAACGGTTCACGTGGTCCGTGCGGACAGCACCTAATAGAAAAATTATAATTCTATCATGTGTTTGGAGCACGTCACCTCCCGTCACTCAAAATTTAAAACCAATTTCCTTCTCCGATCCAATCCGAAAGAGCACCATCACTCACAATTAAGGATTCGTCGAAAGCAGCCAAGGCAAATCTGTGCAAATCGGTTCCACCGAATTTCACGAGGACTCGTCTCCCCACAAATAATGCTCAATCAAGCCATAGTTTCGTCTACCCGCTTATATACTCCAACGCTCACTATCGTCATCACCAACCACCTTAATCATCGTCATCGTCATCACCGTCAGCAATCCCGCAAACTATAATAGTAGTGTAGTAGCATAATAATGCACTATGCCAGCCTTTTTATTTTATTTTTTCTCGGGTTGCTTTGGCACTGAATAGTTTTCGGTTCGGTGTGTCTCAGTTCGTCGTTGTCACTCGGACCGTTCGGAGCATCAGCCTGCACCGTACGCGGCCAATCTAGCAACCATCCGACGGCGTGGTCCAAAAGTTCGACACCACAGAAGAACGGGAAATCGACGCGCGGGAGGAGGACAACAAACCACCCACCGACCTTCAAAATCCATGCTTCATCCTCCATCCTCCATCATCATCGTCATCGTCATCGCCGCCGTCGGAGCCATCGAGCGCGTCTCGTGTTGTAGTCCGAATCGTGTGTGTGTGTGTGTATGCCTCGAAGCGGGTTGCCGAGATTCTCGGGCTCGCGCGTTCTAGTCTACTAACAGTGCCTTTTTCGTCGTTCACCGGAATGGTAGTGCCAGAGAAGTGCCACCACCAGCATTGAGTCGAAGAAGGGCTTTCTGCCCACCGACGCGACGCCCGTTTGCCAAATGTAAACATACCGTGGTCGCGCGCGCTTGTGAGTTCGTTCGTTCGTTCGTTCGGTGTGCATTATTACGCGAAGGATCCTAGCGCCTTCCCCGGAAATAAGTGCTAAAACAGAAGAGCAGCAGCGTGCCGTGCACTGTGCGGTCCCAACGGCCAAATTCGTGGATTACTGTTAATTCCGGGTGCCTATAAAATGTTGATTTCATCAATGTGGTGTCTTGGAGAATGGGAGGGAGTTGCGATTTTGGTCGCTGACCGGACATTACTTTCCTCGATTTCCCTTTAAACCGTCAGCCTGGTAATTTCCGGAATGCTAATGAAATGTGGGAGATGGAATAAAGTTCATGACTAACGCTGATAAAGTGTATCTCAGAATCCTGTAATCGTTGGGACGCGAAATTTTGGCATTTTTTGACATTTGGAGGTCAGCATTTTGGATGAGATTCAGGGTCGCCTGTAAGTGGGACATCTCTTAGCTCTGTTGGTAAAGGCGCAGCTACAAAGCAAGACCATGCTGGAAAATGGTTCGAAAGTTTCTCGACCTACCTGGGCATAGAGTATGATTGTACTTCCCACTCAATTATAACTAATGCAAAAGTGGTGCAGGCATCGAAATTTATCAATTTATAACTGTATAAGTGCATCTAGAACACTAAGTTGAGAGCATGTAATAAGCTGATATGCGATAAGCAATATGCATGAAATGCGAAGAGGAAGGAAGGATGTAGTTAAATTGCATAGAAATAAAATGATTGGCTATATTGGTCATGGCAAATCTACTACATACAATCCGACGCTGTTTCGGTGAATCAAGAAAATTATATTCACGCCAACTTAACGAATCGTTCAAACGTGACCTTCTCCGATTGTCATGAAATTTTTTCACGGTTGTACAAATTTATTATGAAACTTGGTTGTTTTGCCTCTTGCCTGATTTTTCTAAACGGCGTCTCGATATTTTCAATGCACCTTAATACAAAAACTGGCAATTTAGGGGAATCTGTTGTCTTTCAAGACAATAATTACCTCTTTAAGTATGTTCTATAATACTTTTATTCAAAGCTTACTAAATGTGTATATTTTCCTAAAATTTACAAATTAGATTCCAAATACGACAAAAATCGAAGAAAACAAATTTTAGTGAAATTTAGAAACATTTAATTACGATTTATTTTTTTCTTTATTACCGTGATTTTTAGCCGTAGGCTAGTTTATCACGTTATACAGCAGATGGTCAGGCTAGATCCTGCCTAAAAAAAATTGGTTTCAATTGACGTTACGTATAACTATCGCTGATTATCCAACGAATGAGACAGAAAACATTTTAAAATTTAATGTAAAGTGAGGATTACATCGGGGCTTTGGTGAGGACTGGGTGCGCGAACAAGGTAGAGCTCCACCGTAGGAGACAGTGCCCGGTCCGGCGGAGAAACCCCGACGGCAGAAAAAAATAGAAAGGTGAGGAAAACACGATCAGTGCAGCCACCGACGGGTGGAACCAGATTTGATCATACAAGTGGGCGTCCTTCAGAAAGGCGATCAGCGCCGCCAACGTCGAGGGGTCGTAACCAAGCAGATTACTGACGTTCTCCGGGAGTCCATGTTGTTCACGTAGCTTCTGGAACTCCGGGCAGACACACAGCTCGTGTTCCTTCGAAGCGGGGATGCTGCAAATTGAACAAACCCACCGTGTGTCCCACCGAAATTACAGGAAATCCTCGCATGGCCGGTCCAGAGTCTTGAGATGATCCGTTGGTCCTTTTACTTTTGGCTGTCCAGCCAGGAGCATACGGTTTCCTTGATCTTAGTCACGAAAGTGGTCCGCGACTGGAACCATTCCTGCTGCCAGACTTCCATAATGGTAGTCACAATCCAACGCCTGACGTCTAGGAGGGGTACGTTCCTGGTGTCGCGGGGACGGGATGCACCGGATCCCGCCAGTCTGTCGGCAGCCTCGTTTCCGGGAACACCGCAGTGTCCGGGGATCCACGTGAAGACGGTTCAAGGTGGGGCGTACCGTGTAATGGCTTGTATTCAGAGGTGGCTCGGGGCTTCGGTTTCCAGCGCTTGGATGACGCTGTGTGAGTCAGTTAGCACGAGGATCGGTTGATCTGCCGGAGTGATGGCTGCGTCTAGAATAGCTGCGACTTCAGAGGAAAAGACGGAACACTCCTCCGGTAGACTTTGACTCGTTGCAGTGTTCGGTCCTGCCACGCTGAAACCAACCGAAAGCGCCCACCTGCTGACGGCGGAGACTGCTGCTTGAGCTATGTTCCTGGTCCGCTTAGTCGATCGTCCCGTTACGACGATGAGTATGTCGTCGGCATAAACAATTACGTGCACGTTCTTGAGCAATCTGCTGAATACCCCGTTCATTGCCACCAGGAATAGCGTTACCGCTATGACGGATCCCTGGGGCACACGGATCCGAGCGAGTGTCACCTGGAAGGTACGATCAAGGAGGAAATTCTGTACAAAATGTGTGATGTGACCTTCCAGGCCCCAGCCGATGAGCTACCTGATGACACCAAGTGTCCATGTCCTGTTGAACGCCTTTGAAATATCAAGGGAGACTAACTCCGCATGGTGACCGTTGTCCTGGGCTTCCTTAAGTATTTTCCCGAGGGCTGCAAAGTAAGTGGAAAAGCCGTGTCCTTGCCGGAACGCATGCTGTCGTTCGTCAAGGAGGCCGTTTGACTCCAGGAACTGCCTAAGACGATGATTTACCATTCTCTCCATCACTTTTGCCGCGCAGCAAGTGAGCGCAATCGGCCTAAAGGAGGCGGCTTCTTCACTCGCGGTGTTGTTCTTCGGAACGGGCACAACCAAGCTTTGTTTCCAGAGGTTCGGATACTAGTCAGTGAGCCATAGACTGTTGAAGAAGGCGAGTAGCCTCGTTTTTCCGTCGAGGGAGAGGTTTTTTAACACCGAGTATCCAATCTCGTCCGGTCCGGCAGATTTACCACTACTGCTGCCGACGACAAATTAAAGCTCCCGAAAGGTAAGAGCTTCGTTGATCTGGAGAGCAGGAACATCGGGTGGAATTCGCAAGTCGCGAATACTGCTTGTGGAAGGTTTGACGCGCTGGACGAAATCGCTGTCGTAGCCATTGACAGCAGACAGGTCGGCAACATATTTTCCTAATTCGTCGGCGATGTCCTTCGGTTCTGAGATCGAGGTGCCATGAAGATTTCTCCCTGAAGGCGTCCCAGTTGGCTTCCTCGTAGCGCCATCTGGGTCTCCGAGTCGTTGGAGGGGCCGCGCCTAGCTGTATGTGGATCGGGTAATGGTCACTACCATGCAGGTTACTGATATTCCACTGTGATATTCGTTACTGATGTTCCACTGTGTCCTGTTCGCGATGGATTGACTGGCAGTGGCAATGTTACGATCTAAATTGTGGTTAATGAATCGATTTTGAAAGGTATAAGAGTTAATTTCCATGCCGCAATAACAAACCAATGTGATAATTGTAATAATTTAGTGCAAACATTTCAAAATGGCGAAAATGCTTTTGTAAACAATGGCTATAGCCATCGATTTCTCGCGAATAAGAGCTCACGCATGCCAATTTAAAACACTATCAGATAAATATTTTTTGTATGAGAATTTCGTTCGAAACGAAATACAGAATAGGGGTGATAGTCCAGGTTCAATCTCAACCGAGGTCGTTGGGATTTTTCTGAGGCGAACAAAAACTCTGGACACGTCTTCCTTCCAAAGGAAAGCAAAAGCCGTAGGTCTCGACCCATGTGTTGATGGGGTTCGATAGGTTCCAGAATGCCTCCCTGACACTCGATTGTTGTCAGTGCTTGATCACCAATAGGCCATCGAAAAAAGTAATAATTAAAAACAATTAAATAAAATTTGACAGCTTTAAAATGCACAATTTAAAAAATTCAGAAATGATTGCATTTTGGAATAGCTTTTCAACAAAACTCATTTAAAGGTATAAAAACTGATATTTTTTGAATTTATTCTAGAGGCTTTCAGCAATTGGCTGGTTCACCTTGGGTGATTTTTAGTCATTTAAGTATTTAAAGATTTTTGACTTTTTACCAAAACTAGTAGAAAAAATTACCGTATACCGTAATTTAAAAAATGCGTTTTATTTTTTAAAGTTCAATATAACAGCTATACATTGGTAGGCATTATGCTTATTTTAAGACCATTGCTTCAGTCTTCCTTCTTAAACCATAGGCCATTACTAGAACTTTTCTTCGTACACGGCCCATCATCTTTTGCACGAGCCCTGTTTGAAATCCAATCCTTCAGGAACTGCAATTGACACACTTTTTCTTCATATGTGCTGCATTATTGACTAGTATTTCTTAAATTGGCCTTAGCTTCGAAGTATTGGCCGGATTCATCTCCTTGGGAACCACTGTGAAGCCATTTTCGCTGTACCACTGTTTGGTGAAATTTGAGTAGGCAATCCACCTCAAGTCAGTAGGCTCTTCCGCAGACACACCTCCTGGTAAATTTGCTGGTTCATGGTCCCAGAAGTAACGAAAGTTTCGCTGTTCGGCCCACAACTGCAGTTTGCTGGTCAGACAAGGAACTTTTTGGGGAATTTAGACTTCTTTTTGACTTTACATTCTTCCGGTCAACCGAGCTATAAAATTCCTGCACAGGAATTTGATCGAAAACTGCCAGGAGTGGATGGACCGGGATTTTCGTTTCGAGCGTGCAGGATTGAATCGCGACGTGCTTGATCCCAGTGAAGCCATGATGTAAACAAATGAACTTATCCTGACAACCAATGCCTACTGTGGTTCTATACACTCTTAGCTTGATTTAGTGAAATTTTGAACAATGTTTCTCAAAAAATACCTTTTTAATGTGTCCGGCTGATCAACCTTTAGTAGGCAGTGTTGATCATCTTCTTAAACTTTAAAGTATTCCACAGCGTATTCTAGTGATTAATGCACATAACGTATCAGTGCTACTATAATGGAGGGTGAATATTTCAATTTCTGGAGTAGTTTTAGGTGCATTATGATGTTTGCGTTTATTTTCAAGTTTTAAAAATGAAAAGGATCCACGCCGAATGGCGAATCGGAAAAACTCGACCTTATCCGATTTGCATGAAACTTTGCATAATCATGTGTTATTGGTAAACATTCACATATTTGCTAAAATTTTGCCATTATGGATATTCTAAATTTTCAAAATTACGTTTTTTAAAAATTAAAAAAAAGCACTGAAACGGCACTTCTGATCTAACGTCTAACGTCTGGGAAAAAATACACAAACAACGTACTAACTGACGGTGCATCTCTTCTTCAGTGCACTGAG